AAATATCTTTGCCGGTGCTCCTTATTGATCTTGGGTTTGACGTGCGTTAATGGTTTAGAAACTGCTACTTTATACTGTGCTGAATAAAGTACAACACATTTGTCAATGAATGTATTTTCAGCAAAATAATGTGTTTTCGAACCATTAAACGATTTATCACAAAATTAACTTCGTCTTTAGAAACGAGATTGAACGGCGACTGCGATACTTCTGCATTTTTCTCTCTAGAATGATTCTATTAGCATTCAGGAACACAGTTTCCTGAAACTTAAGAGAACCACGGCCATTTTGTCTAGGGCATTCTCTACTCCCTCATTTCAAGACCTCCTGTAGTGTTCCGTTTTACTGCGATTCTACAAAAACCGTGAACAGACCTATAATAGTTGTCTTATTGAGCAAAAAATATATTTTAGAGTCCGCGAACTGATGATGAAAGTGCCAACTATAAATAAATATCCAAACAGAAGTGAATTTGACAAAAAATGCTCGATCTTTTGCTACAGGTGATGGACAATGAATTTCATACAAAAATGATTATCTATCCGACAACACCGCAAGCTTAATATAAAAAAATAGTACCAACACGTGGCTAAACGTCATCAGCTGTTTTGTGGACGAAATATTTTTAGTTTGAACAGTATAATTGATTCGGCTTGTAGGTCTTGATATCCATTCTTTTGTTGTGGTACCATACGCGTTCACTATTCTTAACGCAACGTAATTTCTCTTGTCAGATTGGCTTTTTATGTTATTTAAGATGTAACAATTACAAGCTGTTTAATGTTCTCCCAGATTTCATGATTGCTTCTCGTATAAATATATCTGGAGACAAACAGTATGGTTTTCTTCCGTTTTGCTTCATTTGCTTTTACGCAGTCGAACTGACATCTCTTTGTTTTGTTTTTTATGCTAATAATAATAAATTCGTATTTCACTACTTGCAAGTACATAAAGATCTGACACCAGTGGCAAAGTTCAGCTGTGAGCTATCTTACACTTAACCACTATCGAAAGTATACGATGGCGTGACAAGAACAAAAAAAAAATAAATACAAAATCCAAGGTAGAGCATGTTACAAATTATGAATTTTTACAGACCTAAAAAACTGAAGAACAAAGAGTGAATATGGCAAATGTTGGGTATTAATATTATGCACTGACTATGCATAGTGTGTTCCACTATGACTCATTAATAATACACCTTTGACATGTTTTCTATATCGGTTTATGGGCATCACTTTAGAGTTAGCATTGTAGGTGAAACTGCCCTGGAATAAAGATGAGTTATGGTGGAGAATAGTGATTGTGCCTCATGGTTGTATTATGCGCACCTCTAAGAAAATTAACTTGTCTCTAAGATATAGAGGTTCAGATGTAAGCATTAATTTGTGGCTGAAAATGAGATAATTAAGTTTCGCTAAATAGAGCATTTTCAACCAGCACATTTTTTATTTCCATAGTTTCCATTGGAACATGTTTTGCGTCTCATTCAATAGGTATAAACGTTTTTTGGTTTTAAACACACGTTCTATTGCATTTTCCATTTGCTCTTAGTCTATTGCCTTGTTGGTGGCGGTGGCGGAGATCAGCATTAGATGACGGATGAATTCTGCGCTGCTGATTGAGTTATGGGGATATTGTGTGGTGTCGCCACCGCGCCAGCCGCGTCGCGCCGGCCGGGAACCACTCGCCTCGGCTGACGGTACAGCCGCCAAAGAACACAATCAGTGCCGTGCCTCTTATCTAATATTCGATCGGCAAAAACAACCTGCTAACTAGAAAAACTGAAAAAAATGTTGTTAGAGGATTATATTCGGTCCAAGCTAGTCCATCTTCGAAAAAACAGACTCATATAATTAGTCCATGGTCTCCACAGATTTAAAAATATTGCGATCTAGTCTACTGGGGTAGACTAGATCACAACTCGCACTCTCTGTTACCCCCCAATTTCATACCCCTAAAAAGTTTTCAGAAATGATCAGACCCTTCCGAAAGTTCAAAAAACGAAGTTTGAGCGATTTTCATTATTTTCGTTTTTGGCTTTTTTGTCCTTGGCATAGTAGCGTGAAAACTTTAGCAAAATACGAGCGGTACTTCTAAAGTTATAGACGGGCCAAGGATTATCGGACAGACAGACAAACAATCAGACTGACTTAGATGAGTGATATAGTATTTCGCGATGTACATACGTTACATATAGCACCCAAAAACACAATATCTCATTTTCGAAATCATTCGCGATTGCAATACTTCCTCGCCCAGCGGCGTAGGAAGTAAAATGATCATAAAAGACCTTTGAAATGTAAGTACTATATACACGATATTGTGAACAAATTTTATTAACACGTCATCGGGTGCTACTTCACGAGCCACCCGACGATGTGGAGGAGGTAAAGGTCGCTTTTTAAGAGCCGTTTTACACACAAGAGAATTACTCCGAAAATTATGTTCATAATTATGCCGAAAATTTTTGCTGTCGTATTACACGTAAAAGAATTCTTGTTGAAAATTTTCATGGTAAAAATATAAAACCCGTTCTATATTATATGCGCGAGAATCGGCGCAGAGGATTATTTCCGTGCATGTCAATATCAAATGTCAACGACAACAACAACAACATAACCTCACTTAACATTTGTGGTAGTGGTCCTGTTCGAGTCGTACGAAGGAGCGTTTATTGTTATTGTTTATTCATAATGTCGTGGAATCGGGAAGAATTTACAATGTTGTTAGAGGAGTACCAAAAATGGCCAAACCTGTACAAGGTGAAGTCACCCAATTACAAAAACAGAAATTTGCGGCGTCAGGCGCTGGATGCGATAGTCCAAGCATTGAGAAGTTTTATAATATTAACCAAGATCTCGATTTCAAAAATAAATTTGAATTATCGACGTCTGTTGTCTTTCCGATTATATTGGACGTCATACCCGTTAAGGTTATGTCCATTTGAAAATATAACTCTAATGCGCAGGCGTATCATATGAATTACTCCGAAATTTTGTTTGCTTGTGTCATACAGGTTGTAGAGAAAATCTTCAATATTTTTTCCATGCAAATTTTCAGCATAATTATGACCATAATTTTCGGAGTAATTCTCTTGTGTAAAAAACGGCTCTAAGAGGGGGTTGTCTAACGACTGGTAACGCTGATAAATAACCAATTTGAGGTTAGAAAAAATTTAGATTTCAAGCATATCTTTCTCTTTTTTTACTTAACTAAACATTGAATAACTATGGGATAACATACAGGTCTTGCCGCCGTAGCACTTAATATATAACTTTATGAAAACCAAAGTTATTCTCAAAATCTGTAAATTTTGATAGCTTTACCTTTTAGGGCCCTCTGCGAAAATTATACAATTTAGTTTAAAAGAGGATACTCGAAGTTATTTTTTTTGCTTACTTAAATCGTTGGAGTCCTTGCTCTCCACCGTAGCACCCACGAAAAGTGCTATTTTCTAACTGAAAACAGAAGTTATGCTCAAAACTTGTACGTCATCTCATAGCTATTTGACTTCTGGGTCCTACGCGGAACAATACATGAGCTAGTTTAGTACCAAAAGATAAAAGTAAGCTTGAAATTCATTTTTTTTCTGACCTCAAATTGCTTGTTTGACCAACCAGCATTGTTGATCATCCTTAATTAAGTTACATCAAATCAATCGAACTGCCTTAGAGGAGACCCAGGTAATGAGGACATCTTTCTGCTACTATCATCTTAGTTAATGCAGAGTCAAGGAAATATCTGAAATGATTATTTATCCGACATCGAAAAATAAACAATAACTTATAGCTGATTGTAGCTATCAAAAATATACAGCGTGTCCCAGAAGTAACACACCAGAGTGACACGTATTACAGTCATATTTTATTTTTAGCTTATAGTTTTCACTCTCGTATTTATTTTCCGATATTTTTTCTCTCCCGTCTTGGTTTTAATGACTTTAGGTACAAATGAATTAAAGCTTAAAAAAGCTAAAGAAACACGTCTTAATATCAAATCGAACTGGAGAGTAGCCAATATTTTCTAGATGTCTGGTCTCAAGACGACAATAAAAGTACTCATAATCAAGACCTTAGATTTTTGGTATAATTTGCTTCCAGATTTTCTCAAATTTCAAAATTAACGAACTTTTTTCAAAGGTCAAAAAACGAAGTTTGAGCAATTTTCATTATTTTAGTTATTGGTTTTCGTGTTCTTGGCATAGTAGTGTGGAAATTTTATCAAAATCCGAGCGGTACTTCTAAAGTTATAGACGGGCCAAGGATATAACATCCAAAAACACAATATCTCATTTTCAAAATTATTCGCGATTGCAATACTTCCTCGCCCAGCGGCGTAGGAAGTAAAATGATCATAAAAGACTCTTGCAATATAAGTACTACACGATATTGTGAACAAATTTTATTAACGTGTTAATATCAAATCGAACTGGAGAGTAGCCAATATGCTCTGGATGTCTGGTCTCAAGACGACAATAAAAGTACTTATTAATGGCAAGCTTAGATTTTTGGTATATTTTATATGTGACAATTAATCTAAATTTACTTCCTAATTTTCTCAAAAGTTTACGAACTTTTTTCAAAATATGATTTTTTCCATTTTTTTTTATTTTTCAGTTGTTTACTAATTTTCAAATCCAAAATTCTTGTCAAATTTCAAAATTCAATTTTCTTCATATTTTCCAAATTCGATTTTTATCCAAGATCGGTACTTGAAACTTTTCACGTTAATCTTACTTCTTGAAAATTGGTGAAAAGTAGTTTGAATGAGGCCGTTACATACAGACAGGTCAAGCTATTAAAAGCGTGTTAAAATAGTTACCTGCATCGCTATTGTACGGCAAACTAGCATTGCGAAAATTTATTGTATGTACGGGAAGGGCTTCTAACATTTTTTCAGATTTATATGTGAATAGAATTTAATCCTGATACTCACCTAGGCGCTAGGCTACATTATGTGCATATTTATCGAACATACTTTAAACATAAAACAATCACCATTGACTGACCGCACGCAGTCCTCTGGTATTCATGAAAATTCCTGCTAGCTTTGATTCCGTTCAGACTTTCAAATGTAGCGGAACGCCAATGAGGCGACGGTTTGGTTGTATACAATGCTTCCGAAGAATATGCTAATAACACGACATGCTTTGACGCCGATTTATATGTTAGCTCGGGAGCTGCAATGACAGCAGCGCCGGCTACGCACCACATCATGTGATATACTAACGTTCCTGACATGACACGGATGACATACCACGTTGTTGCTACGTCAAGACACCACTGTTCTGCGAGCGGCGTCGTGCTTGTTGCGATATATTATGAAAGAATGGCGACAAGTAGGTTGACTCTGCACTTCCCACGTAACGCTGTTATCAGTTCAAGGATTATGATCATAAGAAAAAATTCAACTACGAACATGTCTAACACAAAGAAGCATTAACTTTTTCGCTTTTTTTCTCCCCCACCACTGGACCGATTTAAAAAATTAGTTTTGTCGTCCTTGACATAGTCGAAACCTTGTGAAAAAATTTTATCCAAATCCGAGCAGCACTTTCAACTTTATAGAGGGACCAAGGATTTGCGGACAGACCGAGGGAGATGAGTGGATATACAAAATATGACGCCTAATAACAGATGGAAGATGGGTATACCTTCTATCACCAAGGATTAAGTGAAGGCGTTTTGGTTCATATTGCACTATTTTGTAGAGGTTCACGTTTTCTGTCATTGATGATGTTACTGAGTCAGATTGTGCCAATATATCCATCCAAATGTTCTCAAATCTATGAGCTTTGCAAATGGGCGGAATTCCTTTCTGTAGTGGAACATCTGTCGTAGTCTTCCGTTTTCTTTGTACCACATTAATGCGGGAGTGCCATTGATATCGATTTCAGTTTCAAAATGTGGACTTCGTAGTATCTTTGCGGCGTAAATGCGATCTAATTTTGATGACGGCACAGGATACAATCGCGTATGGATGACTCCTGCCACCTAGTGTGCCAATTCGGATACATCCCGACCCCTACGTCAAAGATGCATCTACGTCTTCTGGTCTGAAAGACGCTCCGCTGGAGCAGCACTTAAACTCGCACCGTTTATTATGATATTTAGAAGAGATGAAAATTGTGATCTTGAAACTTGAAACCTATAGGCCAATCGCGCTATTTAGTATTTACTCGAAAATCATTGAAGAATTGGTGGCAATGAAAACTGAAAATTACTTAAATTTGATATTATTACAAATGCACAACATAATTTCAGTTGTGTTAGGCCTTTGATTGTGTTCATTTGTGGCCGATAAAGTTTATCATGTCGGCATATGTGGATGCTTTGATCAATGGCTAGTAAGCATTTTGTAGAATAGAAAATTTTATTTTACTATTACTGATAAACAATCTGAGGAATTCAATTTGGTTTGGGGTACCCCTCAGTGAAGCTTCCTTGGACCACCGATTTTCTCGATTTTCATAGATGACTTGCTTGCACACTTATCCTACCTACGGAAAATTACTTCTTCAAGAGAAAATTAATGAATCGGTTAATGCCTTCAATCAGTGGTGCTTTAAAAACAGTTTAAAAATACAACAAAGTCTGAGTTGAATATTTTATGAAACAAAAAATTCCCTTAAAATTTAATTTTAACGTTGGACGCAAAGCAGTTGTAACTTCTGAGAATATTGTGTTTTTAATACTAAGCCCTGATTGCAATTTAAAATGGACAGAGCAAATTGATTCCGTATGTAAGAAGAGGGGGAAGGATTCGTATCTAATACTTACGCCGGGGATGTTAAAAACCTTAGCATTAATGCGTACACACTTGTCATTTCATATGGAATTACTGCGTGGGTCCAGACTAGTGAAATCTCCAGAGTATTTGCACAAAAATGGCGTCAAGTTTGTTAACTCTGCACTTCCTAAGCAAAGGTGTCATCAGTTCATGAACGATTAAGTTCAGCGCAGCTTAAATCCTCTGAGAAACAATTGAGTTTCGTACAACAGAGAACTTAAACAGTCCCTTACAGCTATTCCATAGACATCCTTTCCATGCCGTATTGGTTGTTACCGACATTTGGCAACGTTGTCCCCTTCCACATCTGCGCGGCATCGCTGCAGCGAGTTGTCTTTCGTTTCGTGCAGAGTCCATATATTTTGTGCGCTTCAGTACGGATACATTTATGAGCCGGGCTGGTTCGCCAGGCGGTACGCTTACATAGGTAGAAGACACGGATCAAAAACATACTAAGTTTTAAATGCAAACGTACGGTTAAGTCTATGATGTATGAAATATGGCTAATAGGTGCATAGAATTACCAAGGTATAAATACACTAAGATTAAAAAAATTATATACGCTCCCCCACCCCCTACAACGCCCAACCCTAAAATTTCAACCACTACAAAAAAATTCCGAAAATGATCAGGACCCTAAAATATCAAAAAACGAAGTTTTGGTTTTTCGTGTTTTTGCCTCTAGCTCCACCACCACTAGAGCGATTTTCACAAGATATACATGTAAAGCTTTTTCATCCTTAGTAGTAGTAGTAGTAACCTTCTAACGTAATATCTAAATTCCGAAATTTTTTGCGATTACAATTTTTCCTCGCCAGCTTTGGCATAGGAAGTGCCTTCCTGTGAGATATGTGTTAAGCACATAATGCTCACAGTGACATGTATGATGATTATCTGAAGCATACCGACCTCCATGACTTCAGCACTGGTAGTAACATATAAGCAATACAGTTACAGATGTGCCTTATCATACATTTAATTCAAAATCAACCATGATAACAGTGAAAACCTTTTTAGCTTATTACGACCAGATATTAAAAACGTAAATTGCATAGGAATTTTCAAAAACTTTTGCATAACATGCTATCGGATTTTCCACTTTTCATGTATGTATGTATCATATTGCTTTTTATGTTACCATTCTTGTTTATATTTTATCTATATTTTAAACTGTACATACCGAATATCTATAATGTAGATCTAACTGGATCAATAAGTGAATCTGAGTCTGACGAAGGCGAAATATCGTCGACCACCATAAACGACCCTTCAATCAGAGAGGACACCAAGTGTCCGCCGTGCTATCAGAAGTACCATGCTATGTAAACGCTGCATACAAACACACGCATATTTACTTTCTGTAGTGTTCTTTTGAAAGAAATAAAAATACCCCTCTGCATTGATAATTACTAACAAGCGCGAAACAGTGTCTTGATTATAGAGACGTATAGCCAATAACTTGAGTTCAGAGACTGATAACCAGCTTTCAAAGTTTGTTTCAATTCGAGAGCGTAAGACCATGCCGCAGTATGCTTCAAAGACCAAGACTGCACGGGGTACTTTCAGTCAAAAAAATTAATCTTATTTCAACTTTCGATGATACCGTCTGCAAATGTCATTATTATATACATATTTTTGGAGTACACTATGTATTTTCACAAACTTTTCTTAGTCGTGAGGTCCTCATAACAGTGGTTACAGTATGTGAAGTAATTGTTTATATTTACTTTAACTTGTAGCATGTATTAGTTGGAGAAGAATTGTTATAAATTGTGTAACTTACCCTATATACCAAACTGATTTGAAGTTAGCTGAGGCACGGTTCAACATAAGCCCAACCATAGGAGTCACGACCATAGAATCAATGCTACTATGGTGACCTTGATTCATCACAGAGACAAATGATCACAGCCTGAGCTTGGCGAAGCTAGTAAATATTGATATAGTATTTTCCGCAAAATAGGAATAAATGCGAAAGCATTCAATTTTTTTCTTAAATATAAAACATCTGCATGCATTTTTGCAACAAAAAGATGTAGTTTTAGTGATTCCTCAAGACTTTCTCAAAAAGCCGCTCATTCAAAAAATGTCTGACCGTTGAAGTCATGATTCGGCAAGACGAGGTCTTCTAAATTTTTCAGATTCTGGGAAAAGCTAAGACGTCCTCCCGGTTCAGAGGAAGTACGAGTAAATATGTATATTCTCTCAAATTATGCAAAGCTCAGTTGCAGTGCTGTTGGAGTTTAGGGATCAATGGAAAACACTACCCAAAATCTACAATATGTAACTAACGCGAATGGGAAAGAAGAAAAAGTTCATTTTGTTACTTTAAATAACATTTTGTTTTAATGAACAATCATCCTAAGATTAATTACGATAGAAAAACTGTTGTCAGGCATCAAGTACTTGGGGGATTATAAATACAATATGGTCTTTGAGCATGACAACAGACCTATGTAGCTACAGGCATTTACAAACAGATCATTATCTGATATAATAACTATAAAAAAGCAACAATCCTCAAATAAATGGCGATCCATAAATAAAATTGCAAGACAGGCTGAGCAAGGACCGTGTCAAAATTCAATTATTTTTCCAGCGAAGTAGAGGATGCCCGCGCAGTTCTTATTGTTAATTATGACAATTAAGGGTGATTAAACGTTGGAGGGGGGGGGAGAAGTAATTGTCTGTACCCAATTAGTATAGTTTCGTCATCTGATAAAGAAGTTCGCGTCCACAATTAAAAAATAACGGTTAATGCATAGACGTTCATTGATGAGAGTTCGTACAGACCCTACCCTGCCAGGTCAGATAAATATGTAAAATCCATGTGTCTCGATCTCTCTCTCTTGTACGAGTACATGGCAGACAATTTTACTTCGGACTTGAGCAGTTAGTCATCAATTTTTCTCCTACTCCAGCAGCCGCGGATGCATACAGAGAAAAAAGTCCATTACTTCCTATGCCACTGGCGAGAAAGTATTGTAATCGCGAAAATTTCGAAAATGAGCCATAATGTTTTTTTTTATGTTATATGACAAGTGCATCACGAAAAAGCATGTCACTCATTTTTGTCGGTATGTCTGATCGTGTGTATGTCTATCCGTCCGGTCGCTAATCCTTAACCGCGCTATAACTTGGAAAGCATTGGTCGGGTTTTGATTAAACTTTCACACAAGGCTACTACTATGCCAAGCTTTATAGTTTTTGAAAATCGATCTAGTGGTGGTGCAACTAGGGGCAAAAAAGTAAAAAATAGAAATCGTTCAAAGTTCGTTTTTAAAGTTTTAGAAGATCCTGATCATACATGAAAAACATTTTTAGGGTTAAAAAGTTGGGGAGTTGGGGGTTTGGGAGGATATATCTCATTTTTTGACATACATTTATACGTCTGTAGTAATTCTACGCACCTATCAGACATATTTCA